AACATTTACCGTTACGCACGAAAGCGCCTTATGTAGCGTCGCCGGGCCCTCAGGCCTTTCTGGCCTCGGCACGTCCCGTAATTTAGTCCCTTAACGAGAGAATTGCACGCCTCATTAACGCTCCCTCGCGCAGGACTGTGCACGTGGCTTCCACCTCGAAGATTCAATTCGGGAAGAGCATACGTGTTATCTCTTTCACGTGTGTATTTGTAATCAAATATCACTATTAATCACATCCGATTATTTTTGCAAAAAAAAGTCACAAAAAGTAAAATTAACTTACTTAAACATTCATATAAAGAAATATATTAATTATTTTGAATAAACTATCAACGAGAGAAATAATAATATGGCAAATAAAGGGTCTGGATGTACAAGCGAAATATTTGTAAGGTGTAAATTACACAAATTATGATTCGAATCATATTTAATTCGCGAAAATCTATACCAGATGCTTGGAATAATATATCTAATATGAATTGTTGAACATTAATTTTGCGACAGATAGTTTTAGTTTATTAATGTATTTTATCGTGAACTGTTCGTTAGTTTGCTTTCCAGAGATGTGTAAATGTATCGTCTATTATTAGATGGTAAATTTTTCTGTTTTTCTTTTCTTCCTCTTTGCTCTTCCCAAAAGAGAATTGATCAATGTTCGGGAGTCACGTAATACGAAGAGAGAGCGCACGGTGTGGATATAACATATGAATAATGAGGATTGAACGATCTTCGATTTTGTTCGATAATGTACACGAGGTCCGGTCCAAGAAGCATTTAATTGAATAGCCGCTATTCGATGCGAATTATAACGTGATTATTGCGGTGTGGCTCGTGTGGTGTTTCATGCAGTAGTGGCCGCGAGCGTGGAAATGGTCGAGCTAGATTAGCGCACGAGGGACGAAGGATGCACTTATACTGATTAAAAAAAAGAGGAAAAAAAGCGAAAATACTTGTCGCCGGAATGCTTTTAACGAATTAATGCCTCCTCCTCTCTCCGGCACTTTTGCGATACAATATTTACTTTTGCTTCGTAAGTCGTGTTTGCTGTATGCGCGGCCCTACGCCGCTTAAATCATTTGTCGCAATTTAATAGAATGAAAAATAAATACAAGCAATGCGAGCTTTAATTACGGCGTTAATTATCCTCGCTCACCGGAAGCTCTCCTTCGGCCAACTGGGGAGGAGAACTGCTTTACGGAGTTGTTATGAATTTCCCGAAAATATTAATACGCGAAAGGTGCGTCTATTAATCATCACTGTTTACTCGTCACTCAAGTGTATAATCTAGAAACATGAAAAAATATAAATAACAGATAAACATCAATTTCCTTTCCACAAGGTTAATGTTTTTTTTTTTCACAACTTCGAATATAGGTACGCATCAATATTTCGCACTTCGTTATTATATTTTTGTCTTATGCCTCGCTGCTATCAGATAGAAGGAAAAAATATTGAACGACGAGTTACATCATGCGAAATTTTTAAGCTCACAAGATTGAGTTCGAAAACATCCGGACACGGTTAAATTCGCCGATAAGTTGGCCTCGAGGAGAGAAAGGTTTTATCATCATGCGAACGCGCGTGAAGATGCGACGTCGGCGACGTCGGCAACGACGGTGACGACGACGACGACGACGACGACGAAACGGAAACATGTGTCACGATAGAAAGAGAACGTCTGCGTACCGGGTCGAGTGGTAGAATAAAGACCGAAAGGCAGAAGAGGGAAAAAACGGAGAGAAGAGGATGGAGAAAAGGGAGGAAGAGCTGCCGCTCTGGAAAAATATAACCTGTTGGACCGCGAAAGAGCGAGAGCTGCGTACGGTGAAGAGAATGAGAGAGAATGAGAGAGCGTGAGAGAGATAGAGAGAAAGCGAGAGAAACGTTAAAGAGAAACAGAGAGCGCGCGGAATACGTGAGATAGAGGGAGAAATCCGGTAGAGCGGACGACCGCATTGAAAGAAGAAGGGGAAAAGAGAGACGAACAGGACCAACAAGCGGAACAGAGAAAGAGAGAAAAGAGAAGAAGGACGTATATAGGCGTCCCGAACCTACCTCAACTTCGACTTGACTTTCGCAGTTCAATTCTGATCTGATCGCTCTCTACCTCGTCGGAAAGGTAGCCGTTAGTATATTTACACATTGCTTTCGCTCTTCGACATAATGCCGTTAGTCTGTGTTGCATTCCTCTTTCTCATTCACCTGTTTTCGACGTTATCCACATTGAGGGGAACTTAATGAGACGGCGATGATGCGATGTTCAAGGATCAATAATAATCGTACATGTAAGTGGAGATTGTGCATAGAGAGATCCATAGAACACCATCGTATTCTCACTAGATCGTTTAGATCTTTAAATCTATTTTTTATGTTATTTACTTATCGATTTCTTTGACAGTCTATATATATTTGTCAGACACGAGAGAGTAGCGTTCAGCGCAAACATGACGTGACTGTTGAATACACTGAATGCGCGTGCGTAAATAATGAGAATGAAAATAGAGAGAGCGACAACGTGAGAAAAGGGGATGTAATTCGGACGGTGTCATCGGGAGCAATTTACTTTGCGCCGGACACGTCGATCGATAAATTAACGAGGTATGTTCGATACGCGGTCGCATTTTTATCGGATCGGCTCGTCGCGGGGAATCGCGTTTCGACGGCTGTTATATTATCGCGCTGAAAATCGCATAGATGGATATTCGAAAAATTGTTAAGAGACGCAGCACCGTTGTAATTCGTTTCACCGACGATCGCTTCGGTCCCTTTTTGCGCCGATTTTACCTTTATCGGCCGATAAACGCGGCCGTTTTTTTTAATCAAACTCGCGATACGAACGAAGATTAACAGCTAGGAAGGATGACGCAAATGTTTTGGATTTTTTAACACTTCGATTCCTTTGTATTATTGCCCGCTTTTGCCAAGTTGAATTTAATTGCGAGAGCGCAGTATTGCTTCTTCTTGCGTGTATGTGTGTGTTAATAAACTTGCTCCACAGAGATAAACTATATAACATATTTGCAAGAGAGAGAGAAAAAGAAAAAGAAAGATAACGTATTAAATTCAATATAAAAATATCTCTTTTATCGACTTTCCTCGATCTTACTTGTAATCTATTCTATATCGTATTAGATTTCACTATTTTTTTTACACGATACTTTACGTTTCAAAATTATTTTATCACTCCGATATTTTTTTTTTTTTTTATTTTATCACGAGCTTATCGAAATAGATTGTTAAAGACCACAAAAGAGATTTTGTACGAAGAAAAATGAGTTTTTTTTTTACGCAATTATCGAGACAATAAGATGAAAATCGAATAACATCAAACGATAGTTAGTTGACGTGGACGATGAGCACGTGCATAAATCGAGAGCGCTAAGATCGCCGCGAACACACACATTAACACACACCATCCGGGGATTATCTTTCGCGTATAGATACGTAGGTATAATCTGGCGCGTTTGCTGCGACCGAGGAGAAAAAGTCAGGAGATAAGTACAATCCAAGCGAGTTCGTCATTGACGTGCGGATTGCGCGATTCGCGCCGGATATGTCATCAAGGTTCATGCGATGATCGTTTGTCGATATACCGATGGATTTCAAAAAGAAGTTAGAACTTATTTATGATGTATATATCGAGAAAGACAAACACGTAAGAAATAATCGCTTTTGACCTTTTTCAGCGAGCGTCAACGTGCATATTAAAATATATAAAATATAATAATTACATTGATACAATTTTGTACAAAATGATATTAATGAATGAATTAAATTTGAAGATTATAGAGGAAAAAGATTTATTATTATTCATGTTGCAACAATTTTGTTTACAACTTTAAGTTTACGTGTGACGTTCCGCAATAACAAAAATATATTTGAATAACAAGATATGTTTATAATTATTGTTATTAAGTTTTATACGTTTTTATATTATTTGAATAACAAATATTTTTATAAATATCTGAGCAAAAGTTGTAAAAATTTTTTTATCTGTAATTATGTGCATTTATCTATAATAATAATTATTATTATCATTATTTATTTTTATTATTTATTATTATTACTTGTACTATTTATTTTATTGTTATTTATTATTACTAATTACAGCATGCGCAACGAACATAAGCGGATAAAAAAAAATCACATATAAAAAAAACATGTAAAAAAAAAACTTATCTTGAATTATATTTTGACGAAAGCTCGTCTTTTGAGTGTGTTTATATCCAGCGCGCAAACATATAATTAGATAACGCATTGCGAGTAATTTAGCGCGCGTTACGATGATGTTCCGCACGATGCATGAACAGAGCACGGGAACAATTTTTCGAACTCGCGCGGCGCACTTCGCCGCACCTCATCATGTCGTCGCTGCCGCCGCCGTTGCCGCCGCCGCCGCCGCCGCTGCCGCGCGGGATTTACACAACTCTTTCAATTAAAACTTTTCCGCAGTTTATCTTCCCGCGTACCGAAAAAAATTAGGTTCCGCGCGCGCAGTAACGAGTTCCGTAACGGAGAGAGCGCGCCGTTCTCCGGAGCTTGTTTTTTTTTTCTCTCCATGCTTTCGCTGGAAAAATTCATCGTCACGTCGGGGTTTTGCAGGTAGAACCGCGCTTTTGTAAGAACACGTCAAACATCGCCAAGGTTAACGTAGCAAAACTAAAAGAATTTTTTCGCTACTTGAGAGGCGACCCTTTCTCGCTCTTATAGTGTCGGAAAATGCTGACCTTGTACCTGTCCTATACACAACATTCATTACATTGAGAATTTGAAGTTCCTCTCAACTAGGAAGCTTGAATAAACTTTTTTTTTTTTTTTTTTTTTTTCAAATCTGGCAGGTTAGTTTGGGTCTCGTCTCGAAGTAGCATCGAGAAAAAGTACTGATATATCACGTGGCGATGAAGACATGAGTTAAGTATATATATGTATATGTATATATGAATGCATGTATGTATGTATGTGTGTATTTGTGTGTATGTGTGCGCGCTGCGCGTACTCACCTTGTGGTGCTGCATGACGGCAGTGGCCTTTCGCTTGGCAGACATATTCAGTTCGTCGGGGTGCTCTCTCTGCCCCCCTTCTCGAAGCGGGAAAATATCTGACTCGCTCTACCTCGCTGTTTGCCTCGGTCTCTACTACTGTCTCTACGTCCTTCGATCTTCTTTTCTTTTTTTCGCTTTTACTGACGAGTCATAGGCGGCCTGCGATCATCCGTACGGTGACGATCACAAGGGACACAAAAGCGCGAGGGAGGGGAAAGGAAGAAGGAAAAACGTAGGATTGACAACGGCGTAGCGATAAAGCGCTTCTCTTGTTTCTTGTTCCTGTAGTTTCTTTTTTCGCTTCTGTCTATGACAATCTTCGTCTAGCGCGTGGAACAAATCTTACTCCAGAATGTAGAAAACGAGGTGTTCTCCGGAGCGACCGGCACAAGTAAACTTTCTCGAGGTATCGTGTTTCTGTCCCTCTCTTTGTCTCTCTACTTTATGCCGCACGCGCGCGCGCGGTCGCACTCTGTCCCACCTTGCGCTCTCGCGAACTTTAAGCTCTCACCCCGCGTACATATATATACACACACACATACACACACACGCGCGCGGCACACGACGGCGCCACGAAAGTTCCGCGATAAAACCCTCAACGCAGTTATACCGCTGCAGCAGGTGTTGATGCCCGCGCGAAATTAAAACAATCTTCCGCGCGCAACAACAATCGAGAAAATATCTCAACAGCAAATCGAAAAAATTGTTGTTCTTTTATTTTGTATTTCTTCTAAAACGCACGTACACACATTATCTTCTGTCTTTGTCGAAAAAACTCTCGTTTCAGTTTTGTTCTTGTCTTTCTTCCTCCTTTGTACCGTCGTTTTGTAACGCGATAAACACGCACAAGGTAGCCTCACAAAGTTCTTATCAAGCCGGTGAAACGGTATTGCGATCAGCTGGCTCGTCGGATCCTTGAATCGCGTACCGCGTAAACACTTTCATTGAGTACTTCTTTCTTCTCCAATTCCGTTGAAGATAAAAAAAAAAAAATCCTCCGAATCGAATTGATGATGTCTCACGACAATGTGAAACAAACTCACACCTTCGATTCTCCACGTTATAACCGCGTGTAAACTGGCGCCTGAGTGTCGAGTGACGCTCGATCGAAAAAAATCAAGCGAGAGCACACTCGCCGTGTCACTGCTCCCGCGTCTGCTTCCCGAGTAATCGTCAATCAGGAAAATGGGCTGTGCGTGCAATTGCTGGCTGCGTACACGCTCGTTCTCAGTCTCGTTTACAGCGAAAAGTGAGAGAGCTTCGCGCTCGCTAACGGCTTCATAGAACGTCCTCACATCACGAGCGCTCTCAGCGAACTGACACGAGTGGCGACGCGACGACGACCTCCTCCCCTCTCCTCGCAGCTCTGCGCCGCCGCCTTTATGGCTCTCCGCACCCCTCTCTGGTGTCCTCTCTGCCTCACCCCAGCACCACACAGCGGAGAGCCTCATACCTTTCTACCGCGCTTCACCCATACCCCACTCTCTCACTCGCCGTCACCCTCTCTCCTCTCGCGCCTCTACCCACCTTCCGACGGTCCCTCCCGCTCTCCCGCAGAATCCCCTCGCCCTAGTCCTTCGACGACCCGCACCGCTCTCACTCCCCAGCGGCCCTCTTCGAGCGCGTCAAGCCCCCTCGGTCCCTCGTATCCCCCCGTTCGTGCTGTGACCGTTCTCTTTCCATCTCTCTTGCCCGTCTCGCTTCCTCTCGTTTCTGCTTCTCTCGTTCCCGACGCCCTCGTCGGTTCCCCCCTCGACCCTCGACCCTCTCCACTCGGTTCGGTGCGGTAGCGGCGGCGGTAAGGTAGGGTCTGTCACCGTCAGAACATCGAGGGAGCCGCTGGACGAGTAACTCGGCGAGCAGGGGGAAAGCGGGGGAGAGGGATTCAAAGGGGCGTAAGGGGCCGCTGTCGGGCATCCGGCAGCGCGGGGTAGGGGTGAGGAAACGGGCGGCAGGGACCTTTCCGGACGATGAGGGCGAGAGCAGAGGGGAGGGGCGGTATAGTACAACGTAGAGCGAGGGGCCAAGGGGCGCCCAGCGCTCATCGGCCGAAGGGGCTTCCACACGGGTGTGTTAGGCTTGTGCTTAGAAGGGTATGTGCCCACCGCTTTGCTCCTCCAACGTACATGTGCGCGCTGCTACGTGGACGTACGGTATCTACGGTCTTTATCGCCCTCTCTCTCTCTCTCTTTCTCTTTCTCTCTCTCTTTCTCTCTCTCTCTTCGGTCGGCCTTCGTCTATTCGAGTGTGTTGCGCTCTACCTATATCACTCTCGGTGTGCGTATCTCTCTCTTTTTATCTTCCTTGTTCTCGCTTCCATTCCGTCTCTTTCTATTACTCGTCTTCTCTTCCTCTCTTGACGGACTCCGTCTTTTGCACCGTACTGTCGCGCCAGTGTGCCACTACCGGCGATACGTAATGCCGTCCGTGGCTTTGCCGTGCTACTTGCCACGGCACCTTCGACGAGAGTACGTATCGTCTTGCCTGCCCGTATGTCTTGCCTTGCCCGCACATACGACCTGTACGAAAGAGCACGTCGGACGGGTTTACTTGCCTGATGTATACATTTTTAGGAGAAGCCTCTCCCTCTCTCTCTCTCTCTCTCTCTCTCTCTCTATCTCCGTTTAAGTCTTCCGTATTATTAGCTCGTCGTCATGCTACCACTGGCCTGCCTTAATACCGGTGTCGACGATCTACGCGTAAATAACAGTAGTCCACCGCGAGGCGGACTGTTAATATCTATACTTTTGCACGTAATCTGCGTACTCCAAAGTGATCAAAATTATCGGCTACCTTGTTGTCGTTCGACATCATTTTGAATTATAAAAAAATAAAAAAAATAAATAAACGATCTGCGCATCATCGACACGTAGATTACGGATGATTGACACGTGGATGATTAACATTCGTTAATTAAAATACTTCCGCGGCATGTTCAGTCTAGACGAATATTTAAAGTGCAATAATATAATAATACGTCCAACGACATCTGGATACAATTTCAGACACGCAGTTTTTCTCGCTTTTATCTTTATTTTGAAGCGAGTGTTTTTTTTCATTTCGCGCTTGTATCAGTCTTCGATGTTATTAACTGATCGTGCTACCAGTTCGGATTAATAGTCCGTTTATCTCAGCCGGGGCGGACGCGTCAAGTTCAATAATTATAATGCGGAGCGAAGTTCCGATTTTCAGACACGCCAGTTTGTTATCGTCTTTCTGTAATTACGGAGCATTTGCGGAGCCTGATACGTATAATTCGCGTGATGAATATATCGCTAAACCTTTGATTCTCAAAAGAACGAACATGTAGAAATATATCTGCGAGTAACTTTGTAACTTAAAGTCGAGTTACATATATACATTTTCAATCACCCGCGTATATACGCGCGCGTCTTTCGTCGAAACGATATTTACACTTTACGGTGATTCGTGCAATTTCGAAAAAACTTCGGTAATTTCTCAACAAGATCGCGATTTCTCTTTGCCGCAAATCTAAGCGTTTGCAGTTAATCAATCGCATGCATCGGGTCAAGTACGAGCAGAAACTGCGGAAAATTTGCGCTTTCCGAGAAAAAGATAAACGGCAGAGTCATTGATTTTGTCAGAAATACTTAGTAAATTAGTAAATTAGTATGTTTGCACAACATTTTGTTAAAGCTACAATAGCAGTAACGCGTGATTGTCGTTTCATTAGTAGTCAAAATGCATCAGTTTCGACAATGTGTAAAAAGATATCAGAAAAAAACGGTTACAAATTTTTTTAATTAACCCAATATTTTAATTAATTTCATGAATCTCTTTACATTATGTTCTGTGTTAATTGTTTTATGGACATGATACGTTGTAATTATCGCGTATAGAGAGAGAGAGAGAAAGANGAGAGAGAGAGAGAGAGAGAGAGAGAGAGAGAGAGAGAGAGAGAGAGAGAGAGAGAGAGAGAGAGAGAGAGTGCAATACGATGAAGGCCAAAAATAGAAAGATTCGACTTTTAAGGCCAAGTTATCGGGCTAACGTCATAAAGTACTTTTTCTCCTGACTTTATGACGGTTATACCCCGCACACAGACGTCCTCGGAGTTCCACCTGTCCGCTCGACTTCTCTCAAAAAGACGATCTTTTTATTGGTTGGCTCTCTGTTCTTTATTTATATCGTTTTCTGTACGAACTCTGTTTTTTTCTCTCTTTCTCCTTTGTTCTCTTCTGCGTAAAACGGAAGATACTTCAGTCGCGATAAAGCGCGAGCTCGTTGAAATTAATAACGTTTTCAACAATGCTACGCGAAGTGTTACACGGAATACGTATACACCGTAAATGTATGAATGAACGAATAAGTGAATGAATACACAGACACACATGCGTGTGCCCATCACCTTCGCGTTGCCTACAAAGGTAGTCACCGGTGTTTGTCATTGAAAAGTCGAAAGTGTAGAAAGAAAAGGAGCACGAGCTTTTCTCCCCAATAGACCCTAAGGGGATTATTTCTAATTCCTTCACGTCGATGGGGCAAGCGTTTACCCCCTTATCGCGCGGCGGTACGCGATAACGATCTAAGCAACAGTTTGCTTCGACGGGAGTAGGAAACTTCGAGACACAAGGAGCGTAAAAAAGCTTAAAACTTTCCGGGGAAAGTGCGCGCGCGCGATCTTTTCGATTCAATCGTACACGATGATGATACGTGTCTCACTTTTTTTTGAGAGATGTCATCCCGTTATCACACTGCGATCACCCTCGACGTTATCAAGAATTCCGGAAAAATTCTTGCGTGAAACGAGAAATAATTCTCGCCAACACTTATTGCGAGAGCTCTCCGTGTTGCGGGAAATTACGTTTATCTTTTCTACCTTCAAGGCAAGGAATAAACGATAAGGTATATATCGTTTTGATTAGCGCAAATTATATATTGCGTCACGTCAGCTCAATCTGATGATTTCAATCTTTTTGTTTTTCATCGATTCATTCGTATTCTCGACAAGAAGAGATTGCTTTATTAAGCTTTGCTTTAAACAAATCATATTTTCGTAGTTAATAACGAAGCGTGAAGGTTTCCCGCTTGTCAAAACGAACCATCTCTCTACCTGCGTGCAAGCATGTGCTTGGTAACAAGGACGTGAACGAAGTCCACCGGCATTAGACACTCTTGGTTTGTGAAGCCTGAGGATGCCTTCGCTACGGCACCCCTATGGATCTCTCTAGTCGAGCCGCCCGCTCTCTCCCTCGTGGCAAGACCCTTTTTACCTCTCCCCCTAGCAGCCGCTTTCTCCTCGGCCTCCCACATCGCCTTCTCACTACCTTCACCCTAACCCTCCGTCTCTCTCTTTCTCTCTCTCTCTCTCTTTCTTGCTCTTCGTTCTCTTTCTCTCTCTCTTTCAGTCCGTTCTCTCCTCCGATCTATGTTTCTCATTCCCTAGAGCAGCCCCTGGCTGCCTGGCTGCCTGCCTGCCTGCCTGCCTGCCGGTTTTTCTCCTTTCCCCTTCACTCTCTCTTGCCGTTGCTATCGTTCTTCACCAGCAGTCGCCCTCGTCTCGTTCGTATACCCTACCGCGACTCGCTCGCCCTCGCTTCCCCTGTCTTCCCTTTCCCCGTCCTTCTCGTATACCCGCACACCCTGACAAAAAATTCAAGTCCAGTGTGGGCGCAACGGGGGGTTTTTCCCTTCGTCTCCTTTTACCCTCTTCCCATCATTCCTGCTTTACCTCTCCCTTAACCTTTTCCCGTTCCTTCCTCCCGGTTGTTCCCGCTCCTCTCTTTCTCACAGAGAAGCCCTTTTCTGTCCTTCTTGCGTTGCCGCTCATCGTACTTAAACCTTCGCCTCTCTCCGCTCCTTCGTTCCCGAGTCTATCGCTTTATCTTGCTTCAACGTGCACCTGAGAGTCGGCTTTCTCAAGAGCTAGTGATTCTCAACTAGCACGCACACAGATCATTCCGCATGGGGTCTTAGAACGGATGGTTTTTCATTTCAAAAAGTAAAATGCATACTGTGTTTGTGTTTGTTTACAAAGGTAGAGAACCGTATTTTTTCGTTGGAACCCACTTTTTTTTCTTTCAATGCATCTAGTTTAAAGATCACGGCATACAAAAAAAAAACTTTAACATTAAGTAATCAATCACATCAAAATTTTCTTTAATGTGACTAATACACGTTCGAAAATGCTGTCCTGTGATTTATTCACGTGTTACTGCTATGTTATTCGTATGTGCCATGGCCTTAATACTGTACACAGTTTAACTGAACAGAATTTTTTTTCAGTATAATACTATTGAAGGTATTCACTGGAGGTATTCACCGAATGGTATTCGGCGCAAACGAAGAGTCTTAATCGG